CTTTTTTATTTGGTCCCCCATCATGAGAGTCCGTTTTCTCTCACATCAGGACGCCTGAGTCCTCCATTTTCTCTCTTAATCTTAGAGTGCACCAGAGACTTAGTTATTCTTAGTAATGCCACAGAATTTGAAATTGCAACCCTAATTGCAACTGGGGTTGCAATTATTGAGGCAACTAGATATGTCTGATTACAGCAAATGTGTTATTGTCAATTTGTAGGTGAAAGATTTTATCCTCAATAGATGTAGGTTAACATTACACCTGGAGGCAAATGCTTAAAAAAAGCCTAAGATAGGAAGCATATTCCTTTAACACATAATATCTGACCAGTATGGGGAGGATCATCGTGTCTCCGTCAGGGGGTCCTGGAGTGGTGGTCCAGCAGCCGTCACGAATTTTTTTTTTTGGGGCACGGACGTATATGCGATCGGACGTTGTTCGGTCGGACGTTAACCGGCGCATGACTGTACAATAATATATATGACAGAAGGAATTAGTATAGAAAAGAAGAATAAATGCAAAATATGAAATACAGTACAGTAGTGAAAAAAGAGACCCTTACAATGGAGCACTGTATAATATGAAGTATTATTGCATTGTCTATTTATAAATAAAATTCATTTATTCTTTAAAATTTTCTTAGAACTACAGCATTTTCTCGATTTAATGAACTAATTCGATCCACCCCTGTTCGTTAAGTTGAAATTTCCGCTAAATCGAGCTTTCTACCGCTCAGTCTGTGTCCTGCCACCACCACATCTGTTGCTCACTGCTACCTCTCGGTCAACTAAGTATACACTGGAGCACCTTAGCTTTCATCTTTAATCAAGACATCTTCACAGGCAACTGAATTTACAGGGAATTAGTGGGTCTCATGACCTGAAGATATCTTGAATAAAGACAAAAGCTTAAGTATTTTGGAGGGAGACCTGACCTGACCTGATGCAATGACAGGTGGAGGTAGGATAGGGGATTAGTAGTCTCATATTACTGACCTTTTAAATCTAAAGGGATGTCAGGTCACCCTTTCTTGGGTGAGGGACTAGTGGGTCTCATGACCTGAAGATGTCTTGAATAAAGACAAAGCTACAGTAGTTTTAGGGAGATTGTGATAAGCATAAGTATAAATGAGCATAAAATATGGAGTGAGAAAGCAGAAAGGTGTGGGTGATTAGAGAGATGGAGTGGAAAGGAGTGTTGCCAAGTGCTTCTCAACTTGGTATTTAACTTGCTACCACTCAACGGATAGCTGGAGCTGGTGGGAGGTGGGAGGCGAACTTTTTTGGGGGGGGGAGGAAGGGGAGGGTCGCGTGATCAGTTTTCACCCCTCCTTCTTCACTCAAGTGTGGCTAATTGTGATAGGGAGATGAATTTGATAACATAATGATCCTTAATAAATTTCCCATGAGATGTTTCCAATATGATATCCTTAAATGACAGGCCAAATTTAGATGAAATTAAGTATTTTACTTTATATGAAGGGTACTGGTATTAAAAAGCTTCAATTATTACAGTAACATAGCTTTAATAATTAATAAATAACAAATAAACAATGTCTTGCCCAGTAAAAATGACAGAGGCAGACGAACCTTTTTGAGGGTGCGTGGTCAGTTCCTATCCCCAAGAGTCTCCTACAACACAAGTCTCTTTGTGCAGAACTAAACAATGAATTTATTGGAAATATCCGTACTCTGTAACATTCAATACCATAATATCCTGAGCACTGGGGCTAGTTATACAGAACTTTCCCTGTGAAAAAGCCATAATTTTGAGCAATATACAGTAGAACGTCGATATAATGATATAACACGAGATAGGTTCCAAGAGAGGTTGCTTTAAACTGAATTCGCACTAAATCGAAGTGTTGTTTCAATGGAATAATTTAGTTTGATACTTGAGAGAAACACAAAATACTAAAAAGACTGAGAGTCTACCCAGATGCACCTCAGCCCATCTCCTAGAATAAGCAAAACATTGTTTTTTGTAGTATTATGTTAAAACAAACACTCATAAATCAACACAGCTAAAATTAAGGGATACAAAATGGTCTGACAGTTGATGCCAAGGTCTAGTGCTTATTTATTTATCTGTCCTTAGGAGTGACTTTAAGTTTTTCTCTTATAGAATGTCACTGAACTGACATGGGAAAATTTAACATTGCTGGAATTCTTATAAGATAGTGATTATTTTGAATATAAACATGCTATAGCTCGCATTAGACATACAAATTTTAGTTCTAATTTAAAAATTTTATTATGGAAAGCAAAAATTTTTATCTCTTGTGCCAAATATATGACATTTATATTCAAATTATTTGCTGTCTTGCAAAGATTCCAGCATTATAAATTATATTCTCCTAACCTTAGTCTGTGACATTATATAAAATAAAAACTTTAAGCCTAAAACACCAAACCCTGGCTGGGAAGATGAGAGGGAGGGAAGTGAGTGACATGTTTGACAGTTGGCAAAGGTCTAGTGAAGTATTTATTTGTTTATTTATTTCCTTTAGCTTGAGTTTATCTGTTTTGCTTATAAAATGTCACAGAAGTGACCGGGGAGAATATAATTTACATTGCTGGAATTCTTATAAGATAGTGATTAATTTGAATATAAACATGCTATAGTTTGCAGTAGACAAAAATTTTAGTAATCATTTAGTACATTATTTTGAGTACATGTACGGTACAGCTTTGCCCTTAGGACAGAGTAGCGTGCCTAGAGAAGCATTAGGTGCAAATTTTAAATATGATACGCCAGAGTGACTCGCATATAATAGGAAAGAGTCGCTTTAAATTAAAACATTGCCCTTAGTTGTGGGTATCGCTTTAAATTGACGTTCTACTGTATTACTTTACTCACTTTGAACTCAAATGTACTAAGCTATAGGGTTAAAAATTTTATTTCTTGTGCAAACTTTGAGATGTTTATACTCAAATTAATCATTATCTTGCAAGGATTTCAGCAAAGCAAGTAATAATCTGATAAGTCAAGTCTGTGACATTTTATAAGAGAGAACTTTAAGCCTAAAACCACCTTCATCTATAAAATTCTTATCACCCACTGCCATCTGGCCTCTCCTGCTGGCTAGAAAGAGGGGGGAGAGAGAGGTGGATCGTTGGCAGCCAGGAGGGGAGATTAAAGTGTACTTGTCAGTGGAGACGTGGGGTCAGGGACTCAGGATTATAAAAGGCAGGGAGTTTAAGTTTTTAGATTATAAAATATCACTGACTTCGCTTACCGGAATATAACTTGCATTGCTGGAATTCTTGCAAGATGGTGATTAATTTGAGTATTAACATCCCATAGTTTGCACTCGACATAAAAATTTTAGTAATTAACTTAGTACAGTGGTCCCTCGGTTAACGAACACAATTCGTTCCACAGAGTCGTTCGCTAACCGAAAATTTCATTACCTCAATCCATTGTTTCAATGGGATATTGGGTAATTGGTTCCAGCTCACAGAAAAGTACATACAAAGAAAAAAAAATGCAGTAAAGTACACTTACTTTGAGGTGTGTATGTAGAAGGTTCCTGGTTGATGATGATGATGATGATAATTAGAAGTGGGGGTGGAGGAGATGGGAGAAGAGAAGGAAGTGGGGATGGAGGAGAAATCACCTTTCAGGGGACCCACGCTTGATGCAATAATTTCACCAATAAAATTTTACGTTCACTAGGTGTAATTCAAGATTATTTTATTTAAATCAACACTGCACTGAGCTATATATTATCAATATGTTAACTAAATTTCAGAATGACCAATGATTTTAATGTAAAAATGCAAAAATATTCAAGACACCAACAAAATTGATGTTTACTCCACTGTAAACAAAGCCAAACTGACGGCTGATGGACTGATGGGAAAACAAAAAATTAGTTCCCTGTACGTCAGACATTATCAATATGTTAACTAAATTTTAAAATTACTAATAATTTTAATATAAAAAATGCAAAAATATTAAAGAGCACAACTTTCTTGATATTTACTCCACTGGAAACGAATGTAAACATAGAACAGATTACTGAATTGGCAGACAAGCCCATCAGCTGATGCTCACAACAAAACGTGTTTGTCGTAAGGATTTCGTTAATCGAAGTTTTGTTCGTTAACCGAATTGAAGATCCTTATGGGAGGTAATTCGTTAACCGAAATTTTGTTAATCGAACCATTCGTTAACTGAGGGACCACTGTACTGTACATTTGAGTACAGGTTGTAATAATTCACACATTGTGGTTGCAGTTGTAAAGCTTTGTGACATCACTAGTGTATAATTTGTCTCCATATGCCCTGGTTTGTTCACTGATCAGTTGTATAAGTGCAAAAGTAGCCGTATTAAAATGTTATAGACAATAGTTAAATAGTGCTGTTAATGTGTGTGCTGTGTAAGTGTCTTGGCCTGTCACCTCACCTACTGCCTTGTCACCTCACCACCTGACTCACCACCTCGTTAGCTTAGCTCAGCTCAGACTTACGTTGATTTATTACTGTGTTCTTTTACTTTTTAAGTATTGTATGTACATTTAAAGAAATATTTGTTTGCACAGTAATTTAAATAGACTCAGAGCATAAAAATCCAGTGTTACCCAAGTGGTTGGTCTTCCCACCCACACACCAACCATGTGAGGATGCAGCTAAGCATGGTGCAATCTTTCATAAAGCAGGGAACCTTTGTCTCCAGGCCCAAAGCAGAAAGGTTTGGAGTGATTTTCTCGCCATTTTTTCAGATTTTCTGGTAATTGCTTTATATCATTCTTTATCGTTTTTATACATTTAGTACATTCGCCAAAGGCTGAAGTAGGTTTTACTGTTTTATGTGTCTGAGGTGTCTCCATAGGTGTGAGCGTATCAACAGAATTAATCTCGATTTAGCGAACTAGTTCATTAAGTCGAGCAAAAAATAACAAAAAATGCTTTCCGCTAAATCGAGAGTTCATTCAACTGGATTCCGTTAAATGGAGAGTATAATGTAATCATAATGAAAACATAATTCACCAACCTGTTGTTTCTCATAATCAAGTGCTTGCTTTGTCCTGATCTCACCAGTATCACTAGCAATGTTGAAGGGAGAATTCTCTGGTACTGAATAAAACACTTCACCATGAACACCCACCTCTTCATCCTCAGCCTGAAGTGATGTGAAAGTTGCATTATTTTAGGCAAAAAGCCAGAAACAGATTTCATATACCTGTACATCAAACATTTGTCAATACAGTAAATTCTCATTAAGGCTACCATTATTGTAATATTTGACCATATAAGGATACAGGCATTAAAAACACTGGACATCATTCTTATGAACAGCTTACCTTCACAATACCAACCACAGCATCTTCCTGCCCTTCATTCACTCTGAAGGAGTATGGTAAACCTATAAACTCTGGATTCTTGTCATTGATATCACCAACAGTAATGCTGACTGTAGCTGTGCTGGACAAACCCTCTGGATCTGCAGCTTTCACTACCTACAACAACAATGGGATTGCCTTGTTACCAACTGCATGTTGAACATCATATTACCATATATAATTGCTTATATTGTTTACCTCATTCCACACACAAAAAAAGAGGTTTCCTGATTTTTTTAGCAAGGGATATGGCTACAAAATCAATCAAATGGATAACCAAAAAAATTCATAATGTTGATGATAATGATGAGGAAACAACAGGGCAAAACATATTTGTCTGGCACCTAGCATCTAGCATATAGCAGTGTCATCTTGAAAAATTCATTATGCTGCATGTTCTACTGAATACTGTTTTGCAACATACTACATGCTATTGAATTGATATATACAGTAATTGTTATACACAGTAATAATAAGATGGTGTGGGCAAGAATCAAGTCCTGGGATGCTAAAACAATGATGTAAAAGTAGTTACAGTGTGATCCATCAACATATATATGAGAGTTGAAACTGGAGAGAGAAAAAACATAATAAGGAGATGACAGTACATGCACTGTAAGAAAACCATGTCACAGGAATGTGTCAAGAAGAGCCTGATGCCAAATTTGATGAAAACTTTTGAGGTATCCCAGTCACCTGGAAAAGATTCACCTTAATTATCAAGACTAGAGCAAACATTGTGACTGCTGGGAGATGGGAGATCATAACCTGGACCAAACCTATAGAGTGTCAAATATCGGATTATCTTTCTCAAGAGTATGCAGTTGTTTGGTTGAGTTGGAGAAGTCTTTTGTTGATGATAGCCTCCATAATTTTTGATGAAAGTGAGTTTTATAATGGCAAAGGAGCTAATTTTGTTGCTATACTTCATCAGAACTAATAGAGGAATGTCACTTGGTCTGGAGGTCTTGCTGAGATTTAGGTAAAGAAAAGAATAGCAATCAAGTATTGCAAACACTGAAATTAAGAATGGGAATAGTGGGAAATTTCGTGGGATGGACTCGAGGAAAGAGATAATTACCAGGATAAATACTGAACTTTTTGTAAACATTAAGATAAGTTAGTGTAGTGTTGAAATTCAGTTGCAGTACTGACATAGAGGAAAGTAAGAAGGACATATACACTGTATCAGGACACACACATAAAGAGTAAATTCAACAAAACAAAATTCCCATAAAGGAATATGTGCTCCTGCTTGAACTCATACTTGCAATCCCATTATTTTCTTACTATACAACTTTAGTGGGCTGAAACTTTATAAATACAGTACTGGGGAATCCACAATTAAACTTTGTCAATGAACAAAACAAATACTTAATTAATTTTCTTTTATATCTCAATGTGACCTCCCAATTACTCCAGTAAAGTCATAAAAGGTTACTGATATCTCATATCTATGCAATCCCGTCCGAGATCCGGCCAAATTTCATAATAAGTGAATCTGTCATATTTATCAAATTAATTTTTTCACTGTTCAACATGAAAAATATTGTATGGCTATTAATAACAAAACATCATTCATTCTTGTCTTTATTTACAATAACTCCTTGCCTCTCCCTCTCTTATCTTTCCTCCCTTTTTCCTTCCTCTATCTATTCCCTCCCTTTCTTAATTCCCTCCATTTCTCTATTCCCTCTCCCCTTTTTCCATTTGTCTCCCCCTTACACATATTAATGTTATGAACTAACCAGATTATAAGCATCCAGACTCTCACGATCCAACTGGTCCACTAAACGTAGAGTTCCAGACGTTTCTCCAATATCAAAATGCCGGAGCTCATTTCCACCAATGAGAGAGAAGCTAGCTGGGTCACCTTCTGGATCAATAGCCTTAAATTAAATATGTATGGAAAATAGTAAGTACAGTATACAGTATATACTTTGCAATTCAATCTATAATAATGCGTCTCAAGGACCATACTTCTACACTGACCAACTCAGTAGAAACCTGAAAAAAAAATTATCAGGTATTACATTAATGTAATATGTCTTCAAGCTATTAAGTCATTTATTTCATTAAGTATTAATAAATAAGTAAATTCTCGTTTATAAGAAAAAGTTTCATCAAACAAAGGAGTAACCTACAGTGCTACCCTCAGGGTGTAACTGGGCAAGGGCAGATGTACAGGGAGGGGGGGGGGGTGTCAGCAGTCTGGTCCCCTCCTCAATTTCTTACAAGTGACCTTTTTTCCAAGTATGAAAAAAAAGAAGGCAATTTTGCTCCACAATACTGGCTTTGCTGATAAGCCATTTCATTCACTGAGTGCACCAAAAACAAGTAAGCTAAATACCTTCCCCTACTATTTATGTTTAATTGCACTGCTTCAGCCTTACAAAAAGGTGGATTCATGTTCCTAGATTCTTAGTCTTTATTGGAAACAGTCAGGTACTGTGCTTTTTTAAATTAATGTCTTTTTTCTCTCCCCCCATCCTAACTGAAATGCCTAGATCCATCCTTAACTGAGTAATAGGAGTGAAGCTTATCCACAGTGTTACATCCCTTTTGGGTAAACACTGCATGGAGTTATAGTACATGAAAAAAAAGTGCAATAATTCCTAAGATTAACAGTTCCAACACTTGCATCCTCAAAACATCTGACTCAGGCAGTTTCATAGATAATGACTAATGCAAGAATATATAATGACTAATGCAAGAACATTGTTAGACTAATACATAAAGAACCATTTCCCTAAATCCATGTCACTGACTACAACATCAACATGCAGTGGATGCCATGCTCTACAATGCCTATCACCTGTACCTGGTATGATCCAGCAAGAAACCATCAGTACCAGATCTCAACTTGACCATAGCAAGGCAGCTGTTGTAAGTACCGCGAAAACAAGTGACTGGTGAGATGTGCACTGTATATATGGCAATAACCCAACTCCAAAATCCCTGTTTAAGTACCTGATGGCAGGGTAAATATATAACTAATCTACTAATTAGTACTAAGCCACTCTTGTTAGGGGTTAGTCTGGCTCTGAACCCTACTAACATGGCTAATTGTATAATGTGGGCCTTCCAAGATGGTCATAAGGTTAGTTTTCATCTTAAATGTTAATTTGTAAAAGTAATTGTATCTTACTTTAAACACTACTTACTGTGAGTGTGAAAACAACAGAATTAGGAGCAGCACCCTCACTGACAGCAGCAGAGTAGCGTGGTAAGGTGAACACTGGACCCCCTGTGTTGGGACCTCGGTTGACCATCACCTCCAATATGCTCTGACTAGACAATCCACCTTTGTCTGTAGCCTGAAATGAACATTAATCTTAACTTTTTATGAATTACAATAAAAGTTACACATGAAAATGCAGAGATACCTTTTTATTCAAAGGATAATTTTCAAGTTCTTCACACACTGCTTATCTCTAGGCATTAAAATTTAAACCTTAATATCACAGGTGAGTTGTACCATCTTCTCCACCCCCAGACATGGGAGTTGAAGGGTTAAAATTACAGTAAACTCTCCAAAGCACAGGAATGAGTATGCCATACAACCAATATGTATTGTCAGACTTTGACTTCACAAAGAATACTTTAAAGGAGATCTCTTGAGGGACTGTCCATAATCGTCACTCAATTTACATGCTGTGATCCCACTTTGACTCTATCCACTCTCTCATATCCAAGACCAGGTGAGCTAAGAGTCTAAATCAGGTAAGCAAAGGTTTTATACCAGATGATTTCCTATCCACAGGAGGGGTGCAGTAATATTCTTAATTTATATCAATCAATACATACTGTACAGTATATTACTGACACACAAGAAGTGAAGGATTGCAAACCCTTTTACTGCAATTCCCGACCTTGTAATTTTATTCTGGCTACTATCAAATGATTTTATTCAGCTTAGAGGGAACCTCCAGCAGCCAAAGGATTAACTATGGAGAGATTTGTTAAGCCTAAATTAAACTGGAATGTTTGCTGTCTTTAATAAGACTGTACATCGGCTCTACCTCTCTCAAGATCCTCAATGATATCAGAAGCTCTGAACAAGTTAACACTCTTGGGTTTGGGTAGGTTCTCTCCCGTGTGATGCTCAGGGTCTGGTCTGTTATTCACCTCACCGCAATTGACTGCACCACACGAGAGATAATTGTGCATAATGAGTCATAGCAAGCTTGCTATTTGAGATAAAAAGGTGGGATTTGTTGCATTAGCATTGTAAATAAATTATCTACAAACAGTTTTATATGAATAATCAGGTTAAAATATTATTTCTATACATAAGTAAAACACAATTTTTTTTTTTACACTTATTGAAAATGTTTATACATCAATTTATACCTTCGTTATTTCATGTGACTCCAAGGGAGAGGCATCACGTGGTGCAACCTCCTTGCACTTTCTATGTTTTCCTACCACTCCACCCTTGCCAGTAACAAGAGGCATGGTTCAAAACTATAACAACACTGTTATGAATAAATGAAATCACTGTGATACATGAGAAATCAGCATCAGCCACAAGAAAATGCAAGGGAAATGTAGTTAAATGTTATACCTGGGATCCTTTAAAACAGGTGTGGTGACCTTGGAGTTCAGTCTACATAATTGCCAGATTATGCTGAGATTGTCAAATGTGGGTCTTGCGTGTCTAGCATTCATACAAAAACAAATTATTTTAATTTTTTACTTCATACGCAAATTTGCGTATGAAAATTCAAAAGTGACAATTTAAATCATACGCAATTTTGTGTATGTGAAAACCACAAGAGTGTCAAGAGATTTTACTTACAAAATTGTTTACGGGAAAAAACATACTGTAATAATACTGACCCTAAGTGTGACAGAGTATTGGTCTCCAGCTTCAACTTCTCCAACAACAGATAATTCTCCAGTTGAAGCATTGATGGAAAACTTATCCTTGCCATTGTTGGATACATGGTAGATGCTATACTGAATCTCAGCATTTTCCCCTACATCATTATCCTTAGCAGAAATCTGTAATTAAATTGCATTCATTTAACTCTTAAACTAGGCTTAATGGAAATGCCATAAAATTCAGAAAAAAAAGACTGCATTTACATAATAAACAAACATAAGTACAGCAACATTTCATCTTGTCTGGGATCTACACTTGATGATCACCAGCTCTAAATATACAGGTACTTTCCGTTATTGAAGGGGTTGATCAACAAGAAGGTTTTTCATACAAAATTCACCACTATAATATGTCCAGTAAAAATAATAGTAAAGAATAAATCCATTGAAAAGATGAACAATGTACAGGTACAGTAGAGTATAAATGGGTTTATAGGAACAAAAGTATTGTTCTTGACTCTTTTGTTCTATCTATGGTTTATGATGATGATGTATATAAGATTTTGAGCAGTATGGACAAATATATGGTTTACTTTTACTTTTTACTATTATCCTTGTTAGACGCTTGGGTAGTCAGTCATGTCTCTGTTACACACTGTTGGCAAGTACTGGGCTTGTACTGCTCCAGAATGTATTTGTACCTATGCCAGGGTTGGTCAACAAAAGATGAAATCTATTTGTGATTACATAACTATTACCTTCACAACTTCAAGGAGGAGCTCCAAGTCGGACTAGAATTCAGCGTGAATGACTGTTAACTAAATTTGCTTTCTATTGGAATATGAAACGTCTTAAAACAGTAACCTTTGCAATGATTCTTCGTGATGTTCCTGCTTGAACAGACACAGGAGGATAAACTGGTAGTCGAGGCTGGTTGTCATTGACGTCATTAAGAACCACGGTGAGGGTGATAGGTCCACTGGCTGCTCCACCCTCCCATGCCTCTCTTGCCACAATCTATTAAATAGAAAGAAATATCCCACAATATTGTTGGGCTGCAGGAATTAAGAGGTTTCTATAAAAGGATTAAACAGATGTATATAACAGCGAACAGCCCAAATGCATGACCGTTTAAGAAGTTGACAAGTGGTGAAAATGATAAATTAGAAACATTAGCACATGACAACTCTTTACTGAAAATTCATAATGACCATTTTTGAGAGAGCCGACTATTTTTTCTTCACATCCTGTTAATCACAATCCATTCATCACTCTGATCTGTCTATATGCTGATACTATACACATTATGTTCTGATACTGGCACCAGGTCACCCATGGCCTAAAACACACAACACTGATTGATTGTCACGTTAATCTTGTATGATATGATTGGCTCCTCTCCTCTCACTAGTCCACATCCTCTCTTCCCACCTAAGATTGGTCCCTTCTCTCCTCTCACACCCTCTCTTGTCTCTTTGTCTCTTACTGTAATGATCATAAAACCAAGTGACACAGTCACAATTAACCCTAATATTTTGAGCATTGTATGCGTGATATAACTATTGGACAAAAGTATGTCTCAAGTTATGGCCAAACTTTATGAAAGGAGAGAAGACAAAATGGTTCATACTGAAAGAAAACTTGATATAATGGATAATCTTAAAATAAAGGTACTTGTAAAAGTTTTAATAAAGGAACATCAAGTGGGAATAGCAACCATTTAAAATGGGAGATTTGGTTGGGATAAGATGAACTGGTAGTCATTAAAGGCTATGCCAGGACAGTCAGATAAAAACTGGAATGTTTGCCACAGTACAGTCACTAATGGTAAGTACACATCTTAACTGCACGTTTTCATTGTCCATTCTTTTTTTCCTATGTTTTTACTTTACAGGTATTACATGATGGTTAAATATTCTAATTTTGAAAATTTGCACAAGTAATTGAAAAACATTCAGATTAATGAGAATTTTCTTCGGTTAAGGAAACATAGATAAATGGAATTCTCTGTAGACCAGACTGGCAACATACCAATTAATATCAATATGGGAGACTTTCCTTAATAACATTCTCAAAAAAATTCTACATCATAGATGTGTTTAAAAAAATAAAAAATAGCTGACCTGAAAAGTGTAAAGTCCAAGATTGGGAGGATCACGGTCAAGACTATTTTCAGCTACCACAAGTTGACCTCCTGGGGCCACTTTAAATGCAGTGGTAGTCATCTCCCAAGTGTATGTTGGAAGGTCATCACCGGCAGTCTGTGAAATTATAAAAAATATGTTGAAATGCAGTAAACTCCCTCTAATCCAGACTTTCTTGATCAGGATCCCCTTGCAAACCAGAGTGAGATACAGCACCGGACACATGCATCCTCAACCCGGAAGAATAACTACTAAAAACAAAACTGGTTAATGTTGAGAAAGTTCACGTAAGCGGGGCTGGGTGGGGGGGTAAACTCAGCAGCTGCTTCTGAGGAGGCAGTGGAGGTTGTTGATGGGGAACACAAAAGTGAAGTGTCTAAGATTTATAAATAGTGTACAGTACATAGTCAATGAAATTAGCAGTGAAAAGATAACCTCTGCTCTACCTTCGGTGGCGTACATTATGAGTGTCATACTTGTACAATACAATTACTTCCTGCCTCAATCGTATCTTCATGTCAAGACTCAACCGCCTTATAACAAGTGAATAATTAATAAGTATATATAGTACCTAACTATTAATATGTAATATGTGCTTCTATTTTTAATTAAGAGGTATACTATAGTGCAATAATACATGTGCTGTATACCATATGAAACACTTTTACTGTACTTTGTATGATTTTCTTATCACTCTCCCATTATATTAGGTTGTGGTCACGAGAGAAAATAATTACTTGAGCAAAAATGAGTAGCTACTGTATAAACTTTTATCCATAGCATCATTTCTAATTTTGTTAAAAGATGAATTTGGTACTGTGATGATCCTAAATAGCCTCTCTACAAGACAGTTTCAATAAAATATCCTTAAACAAAATATTTCAACAAGATATAATGATGGGGATTCAATTCTTTTATGAAAAATAAATAAAGAAATGTTTATATCAGTCTATAAAATCAGTTCTAATTAAGCTATAAACACTTTTTTTTTACCAAAATAGTCCTGAATAGTTTATCTTAAAATTTGGTTTAATTGCAGGCATCCCCCGCGTTACGGAAGCCCGGGTTACGGAATTTCGCTCTTACGGAATTTGTAAATTTTGACCAATAATTTTGCGTTACAGCCCGTAAATCCGCCCTTACGAAAATTGGGGTAAATTTTAACAATAAAAAAAAAAATCACTATATAAAATCATAATTTTTTTTTTTAAATTATTATTTGTTTGGTGTGGATTTCTTGGTGTTTGCTACCGCCAAGAGTCACTCCATTGTTTACATCCAGTGTGCGCACATGTTTCTTGCCCCAGCAGTTTGATTTAACTTTCACAAATATACAGTAAGTATAGTACAGTGCATTACCCTTATTCAAGATGACTGGAAAGAAGCCATCAAGTGGAAGTGACCACAGTAATGTAAAAAGAAGCCACAAAGGCATTACATTGGATATTAAACTTGACGTTTTAAGAAGCTTTGATGCTGGAGAAAAACTCAGCCAGATTGCAAAAACATTAGGTCTTGTTACTTCAACAGTGGGAACAATCCATGAAAATGAGGACAAAATTAGGTCAAGTGCTCAAGCTGCTACTCCATTAACTGCTCGAACCTTGTATTTTCATAGAAGTGATGTGATGCTGAATATGGAACGACTCCTGAGTGTCTGGATTGAAGATCAGACTAAACGCAATGTGCCACTAAACACTATGGTCATTCAACAGAAAGCCATAAGTTTATATAATGATTTGCAAGAAGAGGAAGGTGCATTTTCTGAGGTTAAACCTTTTCTGACTAGTAAAGGCTGGTTTGAAGGGTTTAAGAAGCGCCTTAATTTACACAACATAAAAATGAGAGGTGAAACTGCCAGTGCTGATACAGATTCTGCTAATAAATATCCTGCTGAGCTGAAGAAAATCATTGATGAAGGAAACCTCCTTCACCAGAACAAGTGTACAATGTTGATGAAACTGGGCTTTTCTGGAAGCGCATGCATGCTAGAACTTTTATTTCCACTGAAGAAAAATCAGCACCAGGCTTTAAAGCATCCAAAGATCGTTTAAAACTTCTTGTGGGAGGAAATGCTTCAGGTGACATGAAATTAAAGCCCCTACTTGTGTATCACTCAGAAAATCCAAGGGCTATGCCAAGTCTAATCTACCTGTGATTTGGCATTCCAATAAGAAGGCTTGGATGACTATGACCCTTTTCCAAGGCTGGTTCACTAACTTTTTTTGCCCTGTTGTAGAAAGATATAATGCCAGGAGTAACATATCTAATAAAGCATTGCTTGTCTTAGACAATGCACCAAGCCACCCACGGCGGCCCGCGTAAAGTGAGAAATGCGTAAAGTGAACAACATAACATATGGGATTAATTGAAATAGAGACCGGGCCAACCCCCAAACTCCACTTTTTCAGACACAGTACCTATGTTGTAGTAAAAATAACTTCTTAATTTTATGATGGTATGCACACACAATTAATAATTAAGAGAAATGTCAATAATATTAGGTTTTTTAACACTTACATTAGTAGAAAAGATGGCTGGGCACACGGGGATGGGCGGTTGGTTCCGAGGCAGAGGGCAGATTATTGGCCCTCACCTGTGTCACTTGTATCAATTGTATCACTATCCACCACAGAGGCTTGCAGACTGTCAAACCCTCAAAGTCCATATAAGTCCATATCCTCCTATCATTATCACTATCACTGACTTGGGCGGCTGTGGTGGGTGGCGGTGAGAACTCGGTAATGTTTGATGACTGGGCGATGCGCACTTAACAAACTCTCCGTAAAAATTTTGCACAGCCAGTGAGCATTCGTGATTAGGCAGGGTACAGCGTGGCGTGAAAGCATAAAGTGGGACTGCGTGGCGAGGTTGACTGTATATATATATATATATATATATATATATATATATATATATATATATATATATATATATATATATATATATATATATATATATATATATATATATATATATATATATATATATATATATATATATATATATATATATATATATATATATATATATATATATATATATATATATATATATATATATATATATATATATATATATATATATATATATATATATATATTGATAAAATCACCGGGCAAAGCTCAAGGTCAGGCATGCTCTGAAGATGTGCAAATATTTCATGTGACTAAAATTATCTTATCACGTTTTCATTGTGGATTTACATGAATATATATATATATATATATATATATATATATATATATATATATATATATATATATATATATATATATATATATATATATATATATATATATATATATATATATATACACACTGTATACACACTGTAATTATAAAAAATGTAAAGCAACTTGGATTACTAAGATAGATCCTCATGTGGCTTGCATAATTCATGGCAGCTGTGTCTCAAATAACCTATTTTCACGAATGGAATGTGCAGTTTGTTATGATCAAATTTTTCAATTTCATCAAGCTACAGGTGATAAGAAAGATTTATTGCAATTACAAATTAAAAATAGGAGGAATAAGGCCTTGAAGAATAAGTTTTTCAATGTACAACAATGGAAAGATCCCAAGTTGGCAGAAAGTTTAGGTTTATTGGTGTTAGGTAAAAGACTTAATCCCCATTTAGACAAGACTGCTCCTGCTAAGAAAAATAAGTTATTGGACCTTCCAGACAATGGGTCAGTAGGAAGTCTACAAAAACCTCTATCTACTCAATCTGATTTCAGTGGATTCCAGGATCAGGACGATGAGCCTGGTTCTAATCATAGTATCCAGTCTCTTGAGCAGGAAGAACCTGTTGAGACTGACTTCATCCTATCCACATCTTGGCAACCACTTCCACCTTGGGCAAAAGTGTTGGTTACTGCGAGTGGAAACAGGCTGCTGTCAACTGACATGCAGCTGCTAGATAATATTGAGTGTAAGGTTAATTCTAACAGGCCATGGATAAAATTGGTAAGAGCTAAGTCTTCTTTGTTCACTAATCCATCTGAATCTGTGGATTCCTTATTCAAGGTATTTTATGAAACTGTCTCTAAGCTCCCTGATATCTCAGCAACTACAAAGAGAGAGGAAGGACATGCAACCTTGGTTCATCATTCTTTGTTTTTGGAGGGTAATGCTACACTTTCTTGGCCTGATATTTGCCCAAAGATGATCTCTGAAATAGACAAAGTCTGGGTTAATTTATTGAAAGACTTAACATTCATTCCCTCTGACAGGAATGCTCACAAGTTTAGTTTTTAGAAGTTCCAATTTAATGAAGAAAAGAGTTCCTTATATGATCTTTCCCAATATTTGTCAGCTTCAAAATATGTTGATATAAGTTATGAAAAAAATTTGAAACCAGTTGCCCCTGCACTGCGGCTTGAAGAATTTAAAATTAGGAAATTGGCAGCAGATGTTTGGTCTGCAATTATGATGTGTCAGTTATTAACTAAGTTTGTGCTGGACTATGAAGAAAATTCAGAAGTGGACAAATGTTTTGCTGCTGCTCTACAAGGAATCCCATATTCCCTGTACAACTCATTCTTAGATCATTTGTTGAAAGCCCTAAGACTGAAAGTCCAGCTAAGGAAACAAGCAACAAATAATGCTTCAAGTGGTAGCGCTTATTTGTTGATACGTTCTTCTCCTCTTTCTCCTGCTTTGTTTGGTGAGCAATCATTGATTAATTATAGATCATCTTTGGAGAATACTATTAATATTAATGTCCCCAGGAGTCCTCAGACCTTTCGGAAACCTAGGAGAGGAAGGTTTTACAGGGGAACAAGACCAGCTGCCCGGGTCAGTTATCAACCAAGGGGAAATTTTAGAGGAGGAAATAATCAAAGAAGTAATAGAGGTGGCCGTTTGTTCAGAAACGGAAAGAGACCTTATTCCACCACCTCAGCAACTTCCCCCTTCCAATGGAGCCAGACAGCTGGGTCATCTAGGGGGTTGGGAGAACAGATGGACTTCTTCCATATGGGCTTATAAGACAATCAAAGGGGGTCTCACATGGACTTGGTTGAGGCGCCCTCCCCTAGCATTCCCAAAGAAGGGTCAAAAACCAACCCCATTATTTACAAAATTTGTAAGTCAACTACTAAACAGAGGTGTCATAGAACCGTTGCAGTCAGAGAAATGTTTCATGTCTCGCCTATTCCCAGTCCCCAAGAAAGGCAGCGACAAATTAAGGTGGATTTTGGATCTTTCAATCCTAAACAAATTTATTCCCAAAAGAAGTTTCAAGATGCTCACTTACGACCATCTGAGGCATCTAATTTCGCCCAATGCTTGGATCTCAAAAGTGGATCTCGAAGATGCCTATTATCATGTTCCTGTTGCTACCAGGTACAGAAAATTTCTGGTGTTCAAAGTAGGGGAATTAAGTTATCAATTCACAGTAATGCCATTCGGTCTGACAATTGCACCAAAAGTCTTTACAAAACTGGAAAATATTCCCAGAAAGATCCTTGCAAAGGAGGGCATAAGAACCTTTGCTTATCTAGACGATTGAATGATAATGGGAAACTCTTTCGAAGATTGTCAAATGGCAACCCAACGTACACTAGTACTATTTCAAAACCTTGGTTTAAAGATAAACCAGGTAAAATCAAATTTAATACCATATCAAAAGTTGAATTGGTTAGGCCTTCACTGGGATACAAATCAGCAGTCAGTCAGGAACAAAAGTAACAGATTTGATAAACAAAGTAGAAGCCTTTTGTGTAAAGCACAAGGTTTCTTGGCACGATTAGGAAAAACTTCTGGGTCTGTTGAATTTTGCCACAATAGTGGTTCCATTGGGAAAGTTAAGGAAAAAGCAACTATCTCATCTGGGATCGAAGTTGTTTCACAGAAACACAAAAATTGCCTCTTCTCTCCCTATTCAGATAAAGAATCATCTGTTATGGTGGACAAACTGAGACAATCTAATAGGTCCCTCTCCCTGGGTTCCACCTCAAACAGGTTTGGTCGTTTGTACGGATGAGTCCAAAATAGGATGGGGATACCATTCTTCAAAAGGGGAATTCAATCAAGGAAAGTGGAGCAACTTCCTTTGGGACAAACACATAAATATAAAAGAATTAGCAGTGGTCCTATTCTCTTTGTCAACAAACCCAAATTTACAAAATATGACGATCCTGTTTGCCATGGACAACAAAACGGCAGTCTTTTGTCTCAATCAACAGGGGTCAACAAGGTCTTGGCCCCTTCTACAACTATCAGAAAAAAATTTCAGTATTTGTGCAACACAAACACTTTACCTCAAAGCAACTTATATACCGTGAGTGCAAAACAATTGGGCAGATGCGCTGTCCCGTCTCCGGCCAGTATCGACAGAAACAGAATGGTCCCTAAAGGTATCGGAGTTCAAGGGTCTAGTGAAGAAGTTTGGAACTCCACAGATAGATCTGTTTGCCTCCCTAACAAATTACAAGATGCCAATTTATGCATCTCTGGAAAGCTCAAATCTTTTGGGAAATGCCCTCCTCTTAGATTGGAACCTTTGGAATTCAATCTATCTATGCTCACCTGTGAAAATATTGCCCAAAGTGGTTCACAAACTCAGATCCTTCCAAGGCAAAGTCCTCTTAATTGCACCATATTGGATCCTACAACCTTGGTGCCTGGATCTACTGGACTGGTGCCCGAATCCTCTACAATTGCAACAAGGATGTCTAGACCAGGTACTACATTCTCAGTTCGAGATATCCTTGGCACTTCACGCTTGGAGTTTCTCAAAAAAGTTTAAATAGGTTTTTGGGTAATTCCAATATAGCTAATCAAGTATTAGCAGGTCATAGACCCCAAACTTCTATTCAATATGAGAAAGCTTGGAATCTTTTTCAACAATTTATCAAGTTAACAACTCCAGATTCATTATCGGAAACAGTTGTATTAGAATTTTTAGAATTTCTGTTCAGAGTTAAAGGCCTTCAAGGATCGACAATTGCATCTTATAAATCAGCGTTGGTTGACCCTCTGGCTTGGGGTTTTAATATTACTTTGAACCCAAGGATTTATCAAATGTTAAGATCGTCCTTTTTCATTCAGAGACCTCCTCGACCCAAGAGAATCCCACCTTGGTCTCTGGAAAAAGTTACTAATCTTGTTATGGGGCCTAATTACAATATAAATCTGAACAGGGATAGAGTGCTCCAGAAGGCAGCTTTCCTTCTAGCAATAGCAACGGGTATGAGAATCAGTGAACTGATTTCAATTTCCAATAATCCATCATTATTGGTATTTTTTGGCGAGGATGTTATCCTTTTTCCTACGGAGATCCTAAGAAAAAATGAAAGGGAAGATTTCCAAGCTCAACCTATTAGGATAAAACGTCTAATGAATGAAACAAGGGTTCCTCACATATTGTGTCGTTAAAAATCTTCAGGAATGGTTAACCAGATTCCCTAATAGAGGCCCTTATGTTTTCTCATCAAGGGATGGTAAGAAATTATCTCCTAGTCAATTGACAAAATCCTTATCTCAATTAGTGAATGAAGCAGACCCTGGCAAGAAATTTTTGGCACATGACACTAGGAAATATGCAGGGTCTGTTGCCTTTCTGCGGCATATGAGTCTCAGTCAGACCAAGGAAATGGGCTTTTGGAGATCTTCAAAAATTTTCAAAGACAGCTATCTTCATCTATCTCTGAGAGATGCTTCAAATGTGGTGGTGCTGGGTTCCCCTCCCCCATCTAGTCAATCTCCACTACCAGGACCTTCTTCCTCATTAGAATAAAGTGAGTATCCTTTTTGAGTAAATTAACATTTTACCTTCCGGTAAATGTTCCTAATTTAAGAAATGTTCTAAACGGTTTATAATATAATCGGGATCTCAGTCAGAGGAGCCTTGTATGCAAAGTCACCTCCCTCTCCGCCTCCTGCTCGGGTATTCTTGCTGACGTCGCATTCAGCTTGAACAAAAAGACGTTTTTTTTTCTAAAAACCAGTTTTTGTGATATAGCTCGAATGCGACGTCCATAACCCACCCATCTCTACCCCTCGAGGGTTGACTTTTAGTTACTGCTCTCTCTGAGGCAAGAGATGAGGTTCTCGATGCACATAGTTGGAAGTGAACGAGGGGGTTTGAGAATTGCAATTAAATGCCAGGTAGCGACGTGTCCTCCTAATATTACTTATTAAGTAATTATTAAATGTTTTAATTGCCTGTATGTTGGCCTGGCAAATTGGCTAGGAATTAACATACCTAGGTAGCATTTGCTGATGTCGCATTCGAGCTATATCACAAAAACTGTTTTTTAGAAAAAAACGGCTTTTTTATTATAAATTTTATTTACTGTGTATTATTATTATTATTATTATTATTATTATTATTATTATTATTATTATTATTATTATTATTATTATTATTATTATTATTATTATTATTATTATTATTATTATTATAATTAACACATTTTCACACCCCAGGCCCCAATGTGGGTCAGTGACCTATGCCTGGGTGGGCTAATCTCCGTAAAAAACAAAACAAAAAAAACAAGGACTTTCTCAAAGTAAGTGCAATGTAATCCATCTTATATTCAACCAGAAACTTTCACATAAAGTCTAGTTACACATTTCATCCCTGAAACAGCACTGACCTGATTAACCACAAAAATTAAATAAGACCTGTACAAGTATTTGTTCCTCATGGAAAATTAGAAACCTTTGTACGAGCTAAATTTTAAATACTGTATATTTGTATGTTTGTAAGTTTTGCAACATTTTGTGCAAGAAATTTACTGCCACAAACTAATATTTTGGGCAATAGTATTGTATTTAGTCTGAAGCAATTAGATAAGAATGTGTTTACCCTTAATTTACTTACTGTACCTAGCGATTAAGAGAGGAAGCAAGCGTTTGTGTGTATGTTTACATCCACATTTAGTGATACACATTAACTTTATACTTACAAGATCAGGATCGGTGACAGTGAGTGTAATGGGTTGGGGGCGAGGGTAGTCATCGTACACAGGGGTCCCAGGGACAGCATTCTCATCTACATTGCCAGTATAGGAGGAAGCTGTCACCACTGGTGGGGAGGAGTCCACACCTACAACACTGATCACCAGCTTGGCTGTGGCAAATCTTTTTGCTTCACTCTCTTCCTCTGCCTGTTAGATAACACAAATTAATAGTGCACTGTAGTACACAAAAATTTTAAATCGCAAAAATTTTCACACAAATCGAAAGTGAAACCTTGCTAATCTGGATGCAGGTGATCTGGATGTTAATTAATCCAGATCAAGAGGTAAGTGCTTCTGATTATAACAAGCAATGAGTCAGTTCCTGGCCCTTCCATTTCTTTTCATTCTAATTCAAGTCTTAGTGGTATGTCAGATCTCAGTGCTATAACTACAGCTTCTCCTAAACCTCCTCAATTGGTTTTACAATCTGATGAGTCTGATAAAGAATTATACGTTTTTACATGTAGATGTTTGAGATAGTGACTCAAAATTAGTGTACAAGTGATTTAGTAGCACAGTACAGTGGTCCCTCGGTTAACGAGCGCCTCGGTTAACGAGATTTTGGTTAACGATTTACATTCCATAAGATTCTTAACATCGGTTAACGAGCAATCCCTCGATTAACGAGTTTCTTACGAGCCGACCCCAACATGTTTTCGCTTGCATTTGGCGGTCCACCAGCTGTAGTATTAGTCCGCCAATACAGTAATCGGTTCTAGGGCTTATATTCCTTACCATTTTAGTAAATATCAAGAAGTTTACAGTACAGTCAACCCTCACTTTACGCGGTCCCACATTCCGCGTTTCCACGTTTACACGGTGCCCTGCCAGAACCCAAGATGCTCACATTCCGCGGTGGGTGTACCCCTTTACACAGGTGAAGTATAATTTTTTTATTTAGCTCATAAAATTCATACACATTATCCGGCCAGAATATAATTTACATTGCTGGAATTCTTACAATTTGATGATCATTTTGAATATAAACATCATAGATTTTGCATTAGACATACAAATTTTAGATATAATGTTTACTCTGAGTAAATATGTTATCTTTTGTGCAAAATATATGACATTTATATTCAAAATATTCCTGGTCTTACAAGGAATCCAGCAATGTCAATTATATTATCCTAACTTTAGTCTGATTTATTATTTATTACTAAAAAGGTAAACAGTCTGGTATTCCCACACATTCATCTGGTAGGGACGGTTGGTGGGGGGTGGGAGGGAGGGAGGGACCGGCGACCGACCACCTGGCACCATGGTGTGAAGAATATTATTTTTTTTTTTATTAACTGAAGATATTTGTTTTAGCTCATAAAATTCATACAAATTACCCGGCCAGAATATAATTTACATTGCTGGAATTCTTACAATTTGATGATCATTTTGAATATAAACATCATATATTTTGCATTAGACATACAAATTTTAGATATAATGTTTACTCTGAGTAAATATGTTATCTTTTGTGCAAAATATATGACATTTATATTCAAAATATTCCTGGTTTTACAAGGAATCCAGCAATGTCAATTATATTATCCTAACTTTAATCTGAGGTATTATTTAATACTAAATGTTAAAATCTAGTTTTTTCACCCAACCTTTCTCTTGAAGGGAGGATTGGTGGGGGGTGGGGGGGAGGGTTGGGACCGACCATCTGGCGGTTGGAAGAGGGGGGGAGGCAAGGTGGGGTACTTTGATTGACAGATAGTGTCCTGAAGAATATTTTTTTTTTTATTAACTGAAGATATTTGTTTTAGCTCATAAAATTCATACAAATTACCCGGCCAGAATATAATTTACATTGCTGGAATTCTTACAATTTGATGATCATTTTGAATATAAACATCATAGATTTTGCATTAGACATACAAATTTTAGATATAATGTTTACTCTGAGTAAATATGTTATCTTTTGTGCAAAATATATGACATTTGTATTCAAAATATTCCTGGTCTTACAAGGAATCCAGCAATGTCAATTATATTATCCTAACTTTAGTTTGAGGTATTATTTATTACTATACCTGGTTTTCCCCCCAAAATTTCTCAGAGAGGGAAGAGCCAGCGAGTGTAGTGTGAGAAGAGGGGGAGGGAGTTGAGTCCATCATTTGAATGGACATTAACTTGGCGACTGTATTTCTCTATTTCTCTTAAGTATTAATTGTGTGCATGTACCATCATAAAATTAAGATGTTATTTTTACTACAACATAGTTATGTGTCTTCAAAAAGTGGAGTTTGGGGGTCAGCTGGTCTCTATTTCATTTAATCCCATATGTTATGTTATTCACTTTACGCGTTTCTCACTTTCCGCGGTACCCTGTGGGTTACATTAACCGCGTAAAGTGAGGGTTGACTGTATTCAATAATTTTAAAAGTTTAATATTAAATTTTTTAGTAATTTTAACAATTATTGAACATAATTGAAGGTAAAGAAACTAGTTTCTGGCGCGCCATCCAGCCTGGCAACACACCAAATAGGCGTTAGTCTCTTTCTCTTTTCAGTGGAGGTAACATCTTGCTTGAGACTCTCTTCAACTAAACGCTTTTTTTCTGTTTCCAAGCAAATTATTGGTCATTTTGAAATTTATTTTACATATTGACAATATATAATACAGTGCAGTGTTGATTTAAAGAAAATATTCTTGAATTACACCAAAAGAACTACAATTTTATGGGTGAAATGGCACCATGGGGTGACTTCTCTTCCACCCCAATGCCTTCTCTTCTCCCGTCTCCTCCACCCCCATTCTAATTCCTATCATCATCATCATCATCATCATCATCCAGGAGCCTTCTACATACACACCTCAAAGTAAGTGTACTTTTCTACCCTTTTTGTTGAATTTAGGCAATTTTCGGTGAGCTGGAACCAATTACCCAAAACCCATTGAAACAATGGTTTCGGTTAACGAGCAACCTTCTAGAACGGATTGTGCTCGTTAACCGAGGGACCACTGTACTTGTACTCTAGTATATAATACTGCAGTTTAAAACAAATGCCTCTCACTACCTACACATTACCCATCTTCACTGCTTCTACACTAGCTTCAGGAGTCAGGAGCCCTATCGATTTAAAGAAAAGCACTTATAAATAAATACAGTAATCACCTTTCTTGTGTTTTATGGGTTATTACTGTCTTTTTTTTATTATGCATTTGCTAATTTTTTGAAATTTACAATAATTCAGATATCTTGCTAATCCGGAGCACCTTCCCCCCAATTAATCTGGATAGATGAGGTTTCACTGTATTAAATCATATTAAAATCCACTTAAAATTTCAATTACTACTGTGCATACACTGATGGCTACTGTTGTAATATGGAACAAATTCATTCATAACTAAAACTTCTTACTTCTTATTAATGGGAATACCTGGAAGATAATGGCATCCAACAAATATAAAGTATACAAACCTTTACAACGATCTCAAACTTTGTAGTGACAGCCCTTTCAACAGCAGTAGTGTGGGTAACAGCTCCTGATTGTGGGTTGATAACAAAGAAGCGGTCATATGTTCCTGGCCGACCCGACATGAACGAATACCTGAGTTGAAATTTCTGGGTTAACATAACTACAGTATTCTCACCATGTGTGTATATACAGTGTAATAATAATAATATTAATAATAATAATAACAATAATAATAATAATAATAATAATAATAATAATAATAATAATAATAATAATAATAATAATAATAATAATAATCAACGGTTTATTGAAGGAACATGGCAGCCGGAAGGCTGAAAATATACAGTTGCATAATTGGGGAATGGGTCTCTTGATTGACAAATAATATACTGTACAAGTAACATAAGTGATATAAATATGATATATAATAACTAGGTGAGGAGAAGGTCATACAACAGGGCATTTCAACATAGTGACAGTGCAAAAAGGTAAGATTGACCGGGAGTCAATACACTGGTTGATTACAAGTTATTGATAATTTTTACAATGGTTGGGACTGGATTGTACTTATAGCGATCAGTACGTGCTCATATGGGCTGGATGTGGTTGTGGTGTCGAACAGCAATTCTCGGACGAGGGATCTCAGGTGGTAGTAGGAACCGGTGTTGAGGATGGTGCAGAAGTTTCTCACCAAATTTGCAGATGAGGTCATGGTGATGGTCAGAGAGAGCTGAGAGGGTCAGTGTGTTCAGCGCTTCTTGATAAGTGGAGTAGGAAGGTGAGAGAATAATCTTGCATGCCCTCTTTTGCACTTTTCTAGGTGTTTACATTGTGTGGCATTTAGGGAGGAAGACCAGGTAGGGGAGATATAGGTGAGCTTGGGAACTATGAATGTTGAGTAAACACTGAGGAGCTCGGGAGCAGGAACTACGGGGGACTTGAGTCGGCGGAGGAGGTGGAGACGGAAACTGGAGGATTTGACAACTTTACTGATGTGTGTTTTCCAATTTAGTTTGTTGTCTATGGTGACGCCGAGGAGCTAAGTGGAGTCTACAACCTGGAGTGTGTTGGGGCCTAAGTAATGGAAGGGGGTGGGACAACGTCGGAGGAGAGGTTGATGTGCATAACCATGGTCTTGGTATGGTTGATGGGGACGTGACTGTTGGTGGCCCAATTTTGGAGACTGTTCAATAAATCCTGGAGGGCAGTATAGTCGGGAGCAGAGTTGTTGACACTGATCCCAATGGTGGAGTCGTCGACATATTTCCAGCGAGCAGGGGTTTCTCTTAGGGCATCATTGATAAGCATAAGGAAGCAGAGCGGTCCCATCTTGGTACCTTGGGGACGCCACAGGTGAGTGACTAAAAAGTGGAGACAGCCCCTCGGAAGCGTACGGTTTGGCGTTTAGTCACTAAGGAAGTCTGTGAGCCATGGTATAAGACATCTCCGAAACCCGAGGTTGATAGCTTTGGTGATGATTAAATTATGGTAGACTAGGTCAAAAGCGTTTGTGAAGCGTTTTTCGTTTTTCCAGATGGCGGTATATGTAGTCGTAGAATGCTGACAAGACAGTGAGTGGTGGAGGAAGCTTTTATATTACCAAATTGCTGAGGATCTATGGTGCCTGCAATATCAGCATAAGCCCAGTCAAACATGAAACTTTCACAGATTAAGCTGGGTATTGTGGTGATGGCAATGGGTCGTAGCTCATTTAAGGATTGTTGACTGCTTGACTTGGGCACTGGTGACACATATGAAGTTTTCCAGTCAGTTGGGCATCTTGCTTGACTGAGGGAGGCATTGATGATGGAGCAGAAGGGTTTGGCTAGTTCTTGGGAGAACTCCTTGTAGAGTTTCATTGGTAAGTCAATGGGAGTGGTGGAGCACTTTAACTTCAGTTTGTCCAGACGTTTTGCTACTTCAAATTCTTCTACTAAGTCAGTGGGAAAGGGACCTGGTAGGTAAGCAGGGAGACTGGTTGTGTCAAGCCGGGGAGCATCTGGCGTATACAGTAGTTGTGAAATGGTTGTTTGATTGCTCGGCTGCGTCAACATTAGTGAGATGGCAAAGGAAGGGGAGAGGGTGTATCTTATTGTTTAGTTCACAGAGTTCGTTAAGCATACCAGACCACTGGCTGTTGTTGGTCTGCTTCAGGTGTTGCAGCTTGGTTGGGTAGTGAGACTTCTTTGCAGTGAGTATTTCACGGATGACTTGGTTGCGAAGGGACCTGTAGTAGTTGTGGTCATTGAGATAAAAGGCGCTGTCTCTCTGCTGCATAAGTCTTTTGATCCGAGATGTGATCCAGGGCAAGTCAGCTGGGTGTGATCTGACAGACTTCTCGGAGAAGAAGTGGTGGTAAGCTTCTGTGGCGGTGTTGGTATAATTTATCCATTTGGTGTCCACGTCATCCACACTAAGTACTTCAGTCCAGGGATGGTGAACTATCCACTGCCAGAAGAGATGCACTGCAGAGTCAGTAATCAGCCTGTAGGTCTTGATGTGGGGTCTCTGTACTTGGGTGGTAGTGGCAGCTGAAGACCAGAACACTGATAGGTGTGTGCTACACCCGATAGGAGGCATTGGTGAGGTGGTTGGTACTGGTCCAGTAAGTCAGTGAAGATAAGGTCAAGGGTATTTTGACCGTGTGTGGGGAAGTTCACAACTTGTGATACTGACAGCTGGTCCTGGATATCAGTGGTGTCAATTTCGTTATAATCCCCGCATAATACTAACTTGGCACAAGGGTACCTAACTCTGAGGTGGTAATGAGCTGATTGATAAGAGTGTCTCTGCTGGGTGAGCGATGCAGATGGTATGCCACACAGATTATGAGAGAAGCAGTGTGGCGCGGGTGGGCACGTGGCACAACACGTACCCATAATGCCTCCACATCTCCTGGGACTTGAACATCTAGGCGTGACGGGCATAGTACGTCTTGACAGAAGAGGACAACGCCCCCTCCGCGCCCATGTGAACAGAGGTGATGAAAGAGTCATATCCCTCAATGTGGCATGCTTCAGGAACAATTTGCCAAGCTTCACATATGGCAACGACGTTGGCAGCTACTGATCGGACTGTGGTTGCCAGTTCATCAAATTTATTAGCTAAGGAAGTGACGTTGGCGAGCAGAAAAGACGGGAGACCATACCATGTTCGTGGAACTTCAGTGTATTGGTACAGTCTGTCGGGAGTAGGTTTCTCTGGTTTTCTAGTGGAGGTGATGGTCCTAATGGGCTTTTGTTTATGACGTCCTTGTCTACGGCTGCGAGCATGAAATATGTTCAGTGATTTGAGTAGCATGATAACACTGCCATCAAGATAATAGTTCCCAAGCTTTAGAAGGTACAGGGAGCATCTGGAGTAAGTAATTGGTGGACATCTGTTGATATCTGTTGTTGTGGACAGATGGAAGTGTTTGTCCGCGGTGGCCATAAACTCACTGGCGGCGCTTTGAGGGCCGCTGACATTGATAGACATCTGTTAATATTTGTCAAGTCGTAAACACCGCGAGTCCTTGTCTCCAGCACGTAAGGGTCGCCGACACAGTACCCACGGTATTTGTAAACACCACGGTGGTCCTTGTCACTGGCACTTTGAAGGTGACCGACAAAGTGCCCACGGTCTGGTACTACACTGCTGTGTTTACGTGTTTTTCCCACGGAATACACTATTGGATCACTGTTTGGTAACCAATCATTGCACTGATCACTTGAATGTTTAGCTGAAAAATCCCGGTGTAGTGATGTTGGTAGGGAGTTGGGATATAGCAAGGGGGGAGGGGGGAGTCAGTGCCAAACATACTTGGCCTGGCTGCAAGTCACGAGTGCCTGTAGAACACACCGTGTCTCATTGAGGGCTGGTGTGTGTGTGCGTGTGTGTGTGCGTGCATGCGTGCTGGACAGAGAGCAAACCAGGATTTACTCGGGAAGAAAGGCCAAATTGAGAATTTAAATTATCATGATACTTTCTCCACTCTGAACCTATAGTCCCTCATAAATCATCAGGAAGTTCAGAATAAAGACACTAAACCACACTGGCCACAGTGGCCTATTACAGTACATCTTGAACTTCCTCCCTTGCAGCTAACAGTTCCACACTTCAAACAAATTAGACCCATGAGAGCTTGTACAGTACTAACCTGTATAAAAATAGTGTTATCCCTACTACTTTAATAACCTGTATACTTTTTTCATGTGATTTTTACTGAAACCCTCACCATGCATTTTAATTATCAACAGTATTTGAACCACCTTTACATAATATCTTCAATACAGAATATGCTCTACATGTCAACCACAAGCATTTTGTAAATAAACTTTCTAGATTATAGACTAGACTTACATTCTCATCAGCATAACATTTCTGGAACTGCAGAAAGTTTTAAGACAAATTGTAATGTCCATATGAGGGATTAAAGCAGGAAACAGGAAATAATATTTAAACAGATAATTTATGAACACCTTCACATTATCTTGACAAGTCTTACTGGTAACTCTATGGATTTGGAACAGAGGATGTACACTTACCTCCTTTGTGAGTTTCATTTACTGCATTTTCAACATCAAATGTTCATATGTTCATGAATATATCAGCAAAGTAAAATCTTATTTGGAGATGGCTGCCTAAAGATTAACTGGTAAAATTTAACCAATACAATATAATTATAAACTACAAAATGCTTACAAAATAGAGGTACAGTCAATATTGAATGGTAAATACTGTATGTATACCACCAGTGGTGATGTCTTACCTCACTGGGGTGGACAATGAATCCAGATCAACTGCATGAATTCTCTCAGGTTGAATGCTTAGGACCCCAGATACTTCTCCTGAAGTAACAGAAGCACTGTATTCTGGGTTAGCACAAATGGAACCAACCCGAGTACAGGAAGCATAATTGAATGCTGGGTCCTGGTCATCACTGTCGGCCACATTCACTGTGAGAGTTGCTGTACTACTAAGTCGACTTTCTGCAGACTGAGCTTGATCCTTGAAAGAGATGGAGAAGTTGACAAATAAAAACAAAATATAAAAATATTTATAAATGTAAGTTTGAAAAATTCTAACTCACTCAAGCCAGGAGGGCACTTTATCTCATGCTTATACAGTACAGTATCCATGAATATTTTAACTAACTTTTTTCTATTTCCAAGCTTAACTTTCCCCACAAGCCCAGAGTAGAGTGCAGCTGCCAAATACAGTACATCAAACAACACTTGCCTACTGTTCTAAAGGTACCTAGAAGTGAGTAAACAGCTTCTCTAAATTTTCATGAATATAGTTGGAGGTACAATATACAAGGTACACTTAACAACTTACAACTGCCATAATAGTAACATAGTACACTGATGTTCTCTCAAAATCAAGAGATCGATTAACAGTGATGAGACCTTGGTGAGGCAGAGTGATACTGAAGTAGCCATAGCCATCACTGTCAGGGTTACTACTGCCTGGTACTATACTGTAGTGCACCTGGCCATTCACACCTGTCAAAAATACAATATTTGTATAACATTTTTAAACTAGATAAATTATTTAACATATACTGCAATACAACTTATTAAAATACAAAATTAGCTGATGCTAGAATAACAAGCATAAACATTCTACTGTATAGGATATCAATACTCAGTTAAAAGTTCTATACATTATTTCAATATCAAGTAGAAAGCATGATCAAGTAATATTATTCAGAGCCAACTTCTTCCTCACTCCATTCCATCCATTGGCTTCTCATTTTTCCATGCTGCTTCTTCCTTTCACCTCACTCAAATAAAAATAATAATACTGTTATTAAATTCGTGATTTTTGCAGACAATACTATAATTAATTTCATTATTATTAATAGAGTATGTGTTGGTGATGGAAGAATTAATATACAGTATTACCCCGCTTTACGCGGTTTCACTTAACGCGATTTTTCATATACGCGGTGCCTCGCCAGAACCGAACTTTCACTTAACGCGGTTCATCTACTCATATACTCGGGAAGCGGCGCGGGCACGATGCGCACAAGGTCGCCCAGTCATCAAAACATTACCGAGTTCTTCACCCGCCACCCACCACAGCCGGCCCAAGTCAGTGATAGTGATAATGATAGTGAGGATATGGACTTATATGGACTTTGAGGGGTTTGACAAAGAAGCCCTGCAAGCCTCTGTGGTGGATAGTGATACAATTGATACAAGTGATACAGGTGAGGGCCAATAATCTGCCCTCTGCCTCGGAACCAACCCCCCATCCCCGTGTGCCCAGCCATCTTTTCTACTAATGTAAGTGTTAAAAAACCTAATATTATTGATATTTCTCTTAATTATTAATTGTGTGTGCATACCATCATAAAGTTAAGATAATATTTTTACTACAACATAGTTGTGTGTCGTCAAAAAGTGGAGTTTGTGGGTTCAATTGACCGCGTAAAGCGGGGTACAACTGTATGGAAATTTGACTGACAAGAATGTATTGTGAGAAGCAGTGGCGTACCATGGTTGCAACCGTTGCACTGATGAGCCATGCAGAACACCACATATATCAGTTATCAAATCAAATATCAAGTAGGATATGGCCTTTCTCTAAACAAGGGTTGTCAAGCTTTTATGAACACCTAATTTCTTAAATTATATCAGTGGCACCTGACAAAGTATCTATTATCAATTATTAAATAATGGGTGCAAAAATACTTATGGCAAAAGAATATTAAGCTTTCAGTGTGATCTACAGTAATTTAGAAATAAAGTAGTTTAAAAAATTACTAGGCATTATACACAACGCTGGCCCTCTGTAAAGTTGCCAATGATCTTATTGCTGAACATTTAAATAATTAGTAAATATTTATATTTATATCATCCGATTATTATTTCAAGTAAAGCAGAAACCTGAATAACTTTCCCAAGTGAAAAAACCATAACTGAAAGCAGACTGTAGGGTTATTTAGAAATATTAAAATAATAATGTGGACGAGTTTTGTCCAGCTGACGGAGAGCCGCCGCCAGTCTACATAGCTTCTCGACAAGTGAATGCAGTTTTCGAATTGCATGCATTTGTACCCATTGCATTTACAGAAAACTTATTTAATAGCCACTCTTATGGAAAACAGCTCTTAGGTAATATAATATCACCGCATAACATAAAGACTTCATGCTTATTCAGGGAAAAAAGTATTAAATTTGACTAAAATGATTCAAATTCCTTATGCTTCAACATAATACAGTTCATTTTAGCATGTTATTGATAGGATGGTTACATCTGTATATCCATTGACGGCATGCGGCTTATCCTTCTGCATGCATTGAGGGACACTGAGTCTCCTCGACTTTCCTGAATGAAAACTGTGAAGACTCTTAAAATTAAATCTGTACAGTGGTCCCTCTTAGTCTCAAGGCATAGAGATCTGTAACCTTACTCTCTGAGGCTGAAAGGAACATCTTAATTTATAGTGTCCAACTCCCATCTCATTTACTATGAATCCCCCTCCTGTCTAGAATCAAGGAACCAAAGAATCAGTTCTAGAGACCATCTCCTCAAAAAGAAGGAACAAGAAAGATCCTTAAAGGTAGATGAAGAGATATCAACAGTAAAAGCCTCTCTCTTCAGCCAAGCCAAAGAATACTGCTAAGCTCCTACCACAATAGCAGATAAACCATTCTTCTGAAATCTGCAAATAAGAAAATCCAACAACAAAAAAGTTGAAACAGTTTCCTGTTTCAATATCTTATCAAACCTGAAACTACCTTGAAGAGGATTCATCCAGCCTACAGTTATCCCTCATTTAATGATAAGCTTGCATTCCTGAAAAACATAATATTAAGCGAAATTATCGCTAAATGAGGGATAACAGCGAAGCACGGAGGGAGAACAACAGGTTCAAATGGCAAGATGGTAAACATCGAGTACTTTACTGTACTGCCTAATAATAATAATAAATGAATTCATAATAAACGGTTTCAAAATAAAATGATATATTAACATCAAACTTCCATATAAATGATGTGGTCCAGAGTTAAATGATTTAGTGAACACAAGGTGAGCCTAATTTGAGCAAATTTCAAATTGCATGTCAAAAATTTAAAAAAAATTACTATGATAAACAAAAAAATTATACAATATACAGCATATCATCAAATACAATAGCACATATTTTATGTACAAAAAATAGCTCCTTCCACACTCAAACCATGCCTATGCCAATGTGACATAGTTCAGCTAAGTAGTTAATCAATTGACTCAAGAGCCTTAAGAACATAAGAACATAAGAATGGAGGAAACTGCAGCGGGCCTATTGGCCCATACTGGGCAGTCCCGTTTACACCCAACCCCTATTGCTCATATGAGCATCCAACCTATGTTTGAAGCAATTCAGCGCATTCGAGTTAATGATGATATTTGGTAACTTGTTCCATTCATCCACTACTCTGTTTCCAAACCAGTGTTTACCTATTTCACGCCTAAATCTAAATTTGTCTAATTTAAAACCATTGTTACGAGTTCGCTCCTGGTTGGATAATTTGAGTACCTTTGTAATGTCCCCTTTGTTTAGCCCTGCTTCCACTTATACACCTCTATCAGGTCCCTCGCTCACGTCTCGAGGAGTGCAAATTAAGATGCTTTAACCTGTCTCTATACTCAAGGTTCCTAATGCCCGGATTAGTCTTGTCATTCTCCTCTGTATTCTTTCCAAGGATTCTATATCCATTCTGTAATACGGTGACCAGAACTGAACTGCGTAATCCAGGTGTGGTCTCTCAAGAGCAAGATACAGTTTTAGGATGACCTCGCTAGTCTTGTAACTAACACTCCTTTGTATGAACCCAAGTACTTTATTAGCCTTGTTACGAGCAAAAACACATTGTTTACTTGGCTTAAGGTTCCTACTTATCATTACTCCTAAATCTCTCTCGCAGTCGGATTTCTCTATGGCATCGTTGTTCATCTGGTATCTGGTTCCCTGTTTACATCTCCTATACTGAGTACTTTACATTTGTCCACGTTGAATTTCATCTGCCATTTTTCAGACCATTCGAAAAATTTGTTTAGATCTTCCTGTAGTTTTGTGGAGTCCTCGTCAGATTTAATAACACGTCCTATTTTAGTGTCATCAGCAAATTTGCTTATGTTACTGTCTATGCCGATATCTATGTCGTTTATGTATATAATAAATAATAATGGTCCAAGTACTGAGCCTTGGGGAACTCCACTTGTGACGTTGCTCCAATGGGACTTAGTGCCGTTAATGCTCACTCGCTGTTTCCTGTCCTGTAACCACGCCCTAATCCATTTAAGGATGTCACCTTTGATGCCATGAGCTTCTACCTTTCTAATTAGTCTTTCGTGGGGGACTCTGTCGAAGGCTTTGCTAAAGTCGAGATATACCACATCATAATTGTGCCCCTCGTCCACTGATTCGAAAATTGATGAAAAGAATGTTAATAGATTAGTTAGGCAAGAACGTCCGCTTGTGAAGCCATGCTGGGAATCATTGATCAATGGGTGCTTCTCCAGGTGATTTCGAATAGAGTTTGAAATGATTGCTTCCAGTAATTTGCCTACTATTGATGTTAGACTGATTGGGCGGTAGTTAGAGGATAGTGATCTATCCCCTTCTTGAAAATCGGTATTACATTAGCTATCCTCCAGGATTCTGGTACTACACCTGTTTTTAAGGACATGTTAAACAACTTTGCTAAGGGCATACTAAGCTCTTCCTTACATTCCTTTAATACTCTGGCAAATATCTCATCGGGACCAGGTGACTTATTAGGCTTTAGTTTGTCTATTTGCTTACTAACATCGCTACTAGTCACTACTATCTCACTTAATTTGTTTTCTTCACTATCTCTGAATAAATTGATGCCTCGGGTATCATGTTTAAATTTTGATTGGTGAAAACTGTTGAAAATATTTATTCAAATTATTGCTCATTTCTCCGTCGTTATCAGTGAGCTTCGCCGGAGTCTGACCGTATTGGTCCAATCTTTTCTCGTGTTTTAGTTTGATACATTTGGTAGAATCCTTTGGGGTTTGTCTTCGCCTCCCTTGCTATCCTTACCTCATTATTCCTCTTTGCTTTCCTTATCTCGGTTTTAACCCTACTCGCCAATACCCTATAATAGTCCCGGAGGTGAATTTCGCCACGAGAGCCACAGAAGCAGACATCAACTTACCTCCCTCTCCCTCTTTGTTTCAGCCTTATAAGGATTTAGAAAGGAATCACAATAACCTTGAAGAGAACAAGTAATTCACACCTATCCACCATCTGATTAATCCCACCAAGTCTTGTTAGGAGCAGCAATCTTTATTTTGTTCACCTTGTAATGAAAAGGCTGAACAGGGGAACTTTATTTTAAAAAAAAATTCCTATAAAGCACTTAGCTATACACTGCATATTTCCCCAGAACTGCCCTTGATGAAACAAAGAAGTTCCCACCAAATAATCAATAATGCTAAAAAAAAATTAACTTAAGAAACTCCCGCTGTGGATCTGCTAATT